GCCGCGCGCGGCGCCTGCCCCGAGCGCTCGCAGGACCTGGTGGTGCAGCCGGGCCCCGCGGAGGCGCGCAACACGTCGGCGCTGCTGCGCGTGCGCGTGCAGCCGCTGCGCAAGGACGAGCAGGCCAAGACGTACGTGCTGTGCACGCAGCGGCGGCCCGGGCAGCCCTGGCTGCCGCACCAGGGCGCCGACGGGCGCATCGTGGTGCTCGAGGAGAAGAAGTCGCTGCTGCCGCTGTGGCTGCAGGTGATCCTCATCGGGGCGCTGCTCGTGCTCTCGGGCATGTTCAGCGGGCTCAACCTGGGCCTCATGGCGCTCGACCCCATGGAGCTGCGCATCGTGCAGAACTGCGGCACCGACAAGGAGAAGCGCTACGCGCGCAAGATCGAGCCCATCCGCCGCAAGGGCAACTACCTGCTCTGCTCGCTGCTGCTGGGCAACGTGCTGGTCAACACCACGCTCACCATCCTCCTCGACGACCTCATCGGCTCCGGCGTGGGCGCCGTCGTGGCCTCCACCATCGGCATCGTCATCTTCGGCGAGATCATGCCGCAGGCGCTGTGCTCCCGCCACGGCCTCGCCGTGGGCGCCAACACCATCCTGCTCACCAAGTTCTTCATGCTGGTCACCTTCCCGCTCTCCTTCCCCATCAGCAAGCTGCTCGACTGCATCCTGGGCCAGGAGATCGGCACCGTCTACAACCGCGAGAAGCTGGTGGAGATGCTGAAGGTGACGGAGCCCTACAACGACCTGGTGAGGGAGGAGCTCAACATGATCCAGGGCGCCCTGGAGCTGCGGACCAAGACGGTGGAGGACGTGATGACCCCGCTGCACAACTGCTTCATGATCAACAGCGACGCCATCCTGGACTTCAACACCATGTCGGAGATCATGGAGAGCGGCTTCACGCGCATCCCCGTCTACGAGGACGAGCGCTCCAACATCATGGACATCCTGTACGTGAAGGACCTGGCGTTCGTGGACCCCGACGACTGCACGCCGCTCAAGACCATCACCAAGTTCTACAACCACCCCGTGCACGTCGTCTTCCACGACACCAAGCTGGACGCCATGCTGGAGGAGTTCAAAAAGGGTGAGACCGCCGAGCTCCGGGCTCCGCCGCCTCCGGCTGTTGGGATTTGGAGCAGCGGGAACGGGGCCGGGCTTCCGGGCGCCGGGAAGGGGCTGGAGCGCCGCTCGCGCCCTCTCTGCCGGCCGCTGAAAGCGCGGCGCGGCTGCTGCCCGCCTCGGTGCTCCCGCCGTGCGGCTCCCGGCAAACTGCTCCCTCCTGCGGCACGGTCCAGGCGCCGGGAATGGTGCCGCTCGCGGCGGGAGGTTCCGCCCGGCGCGGCCCGGAGCCGGCCGGGCCGCCCGCCTCACCCGGAAGCGGCTCCGCTCCTGCCGCCGCTGTGCGCCCTGGTGCCGGCCCTGGCGTCGCTCCCGCGGCCCGGCGGGTCCGGGTGGAGGTTGGGCACCTGGGGCACCGCACTGCCATTCCCGGGCCGCTTCCCGACCCCCGGCGCGGGGCAGGACCGGGAGCTGCCCGTGGATCCCGGTGTCGCCACGGAGCTTTCCCGGGAAGCGCCGGCCGCGGCGCTCTGCGGCCCTGGGCCCCATGGCTGCAGCCGCCCGGGAGGGCTCAGAGCAGCCCGGCATACAGGGCCCTTTCCCGGCTGGAACGCCTGAGGGGAAGCGCCCGCGGCCCGGCTTAGGGAGGCCTGGTGCCTGCCGGCTTTGCGGGAGCTCCGGCCGGGATTCGGGAGCCGCCTGGCAGCGCCGAGCGAGGTGCCGTGCCGCGGCCTCCCCGCGCGCCGCACTCTTTGTGCTGGCGTCTCCTCGCCTGGGAGCCTCGCGCGCTCATTCCCAGTTAATGGAAACCTCCCTGGCAAAAGCCTCAGTTCGGGCCCGCCTCGAGGGTCTCACGCGAGCGGTGCGAGGGAGACGCTGCCACCGGCCGCACCGCTCATCCCGGCCGCGCGCGGAGCACCCGGCGCCCAGTGCTGGGGTTATGGTGGTGCCAGCACCGGCTTTTCCCCCCTGGCATGCGGATTTCCGGCTCCTTCGGTGCCATGCGGCGATGGAGGAGGACGGCTGGGGATGAGGATGGGGATGAGGGAAGGCCCCGGGCGCCCAGCCTTGGCCTCGGAGCTCCGCAGTGCGGGTGACGTGGGCGCCGCCGTGTCCCCGTGGCTAAGGGAGCCGGGCTTTGGCAGCGGGAGCCGGCGCCTCTGCTCCGGGCCGGCCCTGGGCTCCGGGGGCTCGTCCCGGAGGCTCCCGCGGCCGGGCGGGATCGGCGCGGCGCCCTTTGCTCCGGCTCCGCTCCCGCGCTGTTTGCTCGGCCGCTCCCGTCCCGTCACCTCCGCCCTCCGCGGTGGCAGGGAGAGGCCGAGGGCGAGACATGAATCCCGGGGGGCTCCCGGACGGAGCCCAGGAAAGCGGCGCCTTTCCCAGCCCCTTTTCCCGCGGGGACACTGGGGTCATCCCCGGCATGGGAGGCAGGAGCCGAGTGCAGAGCTCCCAGCCCCCACGTCCCACTTTTCCCCTGGCTGCTGTTCCAGTTGGGCAGGAGCTGAGGAGCGAGCGGGATGCTCCAGGCTCCGGGAATGCTGCCCGCGGCTCCGCGCGGGAACGTCGCCTCCCGTTGCGCCCGCGTTTCCGCAGGCCGGGGGAGCGGGGCCTGCCGGGGCCCGGGGGTTCATGGCAGCACGAGGAGCCCTTCCCGGCGCCGGCCCGGAGCCTCGGGACGGGACCCAAGGGTGCTCCCCTTTCCCTGCGCTCGCGCCGCGGCGCCTGGAGCTGCCCGAGCGGCTCCCGGGAGCCGCAGCCGGCACCGGGAGAAGCCCCTGGCCAAGCCCTGTGCCTCCCGGGAACCGCTGGTGACCTTAACGACTGTCATTATGCCTGGAATTAGGGCCCAGCCCAAGGGCTCGTCTAGGTTTTACCTCTCCTGTTGTTTCCTGCCTGGGAGCAGTGGGATCGGCCGCCTGGAACACCTGGATGGGCAGATCCCGCGCAGGGAAGGGCCAGGCCCGTGGGGCCAGCGGCACCCTTGAGCGCAGGCTCCTTGGGCGCAGGCTCCTTGGGCGCAGGCTCCTCTCCTGGTGCTGGAGGAGCCCCGGGAAGGCCCCACTTCCAGCGGGCGCCCTTGACCCGCGTGCCTCCGCAGGGAAGTCCCACCTGGCCATCGTGCAGAAGGTGAACAACGAGGGCGAGGGCGACCCCTTCTACGAGGTGCTGGGGCTGGTGACGCTGGAGGACGTCATCGAGGAGATCATCAAGTCGGAGATCCTGGACGAGTCGGACATGTACAGTAGGTGGCGGGGGCCGGGGGGAGCCGGGTCCCGCCGGGCGCCGCTAACGCCCGCTCCCGACAGCCGACAACCGCAACCGCAAGCGGGTGGGCAACCAGAAGAACAAGCGGGACTTCTCGGCCTTCAAGGACCCCGTCAACGAGCTCAAGGTGAAGATCTCCCCGCAGCTGCTGCTGGCCGCACACCGCTTCCTCTCCACCGGTGAGTGCCGGGGGCGGCCGTGGGCCCCGCCGGACGCCGCGAGGGACAGGGCTGCCGGCAGCTCCCTGCTCTCCGGGACAGCGCGGTCCCCATGTCCCTGTCACCCCTTGTCCTGCAGCCGCCCCTCTTGGGCTCTCCCTGTGCACGGAGCTGTGGGAGACTCCAGACTTCCAGCTGGGGAGGTGTTGGTGGGATCAGGCCCCTCGAGGGCGCAGTCCCAGGGGACAACGGTGCTGGCACGGACACCGTCACCTCGCGGGCCGTCCAGGCAGCCGGAGGGAGGCCGGACGACGCGGCGCTCTGACCCCGTCCCCTCTCATCCTCAGAGGTGACCCTCTTCACACCCAACTTCATCTCGGAGAAGATCCTGCTGCGGCTGCTCAAGTACTCGGACGTCATTCAGGAGCTCAAGTTCGACGAGGAGAACAAGAAGTCTCCCCGCCACTTCCTCTACACCAAGAACAAGGCGGCCGACTACTTCATCCTCATCCTGCAGGTAGCGGCGCCGGGCGCGGGGCCGCGGGACGGCCGCGCCGCGCGGCCTCCCTCACCCCGCGCCTCCCTCGCAGGGCAAGGTGGAGGTGGAAGCCGGCAAGGAAAGCATGAAGTTCGAGGCGGGAGCCTTCTCCTATTACGGGGTGATGGCCCTGAGCCCGCCTCCGGCACCAGGTAAGCAACCAGGCTGCCCCTGGCCCCGTTAATGCAGCACCGGGGCCACCTCCGCCTGTCACGGTCCCACCCGGCTCCGTGGAGGATCCCTGTGCCCGGGTGCCTTCCTGGCCCACGTCCGGACACCTCTGTGGTGCCTCCCGCCACGGGCACGGTGCCCGCACACGTCGCGGGTGCCCGCGAGCTCCATAACCCGGCCCTCGGGCCGCACCGCGTCCCGCCGTGCCCCGCGCTCACCCGCTCGTGCTGGGGGGGACAGGCAGGGACCCGTCCGACCCGGGGGCAGCACCAGGGCTCTGCATCCCCCCGGCACGGGGCTCCGGATCCCGCTCCGGAGCAGCCTCCCCCGGGGCGCAGCGGCCGCCTGGGGCAGCGTGTGCGGCCGGGCGGCGCATGCAGCGAGTCGCCAGGTCTGAGCGCGGCCCCGCGGGGCGGCCGCCGCTCACCGCCCGCTCCCCGTGCCCGCAGAGGTGCGCTCGCCGTCGCACGTGAGCGGCCTCAACCGCTCGGCCTCGCTCAGCTGCCACGAGCGCTCCGACTCCGGCTCGTCGCCGGCCAGCGGCAGCAACAACCAGCTCAACGTGGGCGCCGGGCCCCAGTACGTGGCCGACTTCAGCGTGCGGGCGCTCAGCGACCTGCAGTTCGTCAAGGTGAGCGCGGGAGCGGCGGCGGCGGGTGCCGGCGGCGCGGGCGGCCTCCTCACACGCGCCTCCCGCTCCAGATCACGCGGCAGGAGTACCAGAACGGCCTGCTGGCCTCCCGCATGGACAGTTGCCCCCAGTCGCCGGACAGCGGCGCCTCCAAAGGGGAGAGCGGCGTGCCAGAGAAGCCGGAGCCCGCGGGCACGGACGAGACCACCAGCCTCCTGAACGAGAGGAACTGCCTGAGCCGCAGGAGCAACCACAGCTCCCTGGAGAACTCCATCTGACGGCGGCGCCGCCGGGGCCGCGCGCGGCGCCCAGCTGCGGGGACACGCGCGTGCCCCGCGGAGCTTCTCTCCTTAGGGACCCGTCCCCGCGGGTAAGGGGCTCCGCGGCGGCCGGCGGCGCCGCACGCAAAGGGAAGCCCTCCCGC